ATTTTTCCCCCGCCTCCCTTCTCCCTTTCATACACCCACAGACACTGACGTAAGCTGAACTCTCCTATTCGAAGATTTCCACCCTCTGCTCCACAGCTGGTTGACGTACGTGAATTTGTCTCGTGATAATAGACTTGCCTCACCCATATATGCCCAGTGCCAAAACGGAGTCAAGTGGACCGCAGGTGGGATCGGTCACAGTTGCCTGGTGCGTTGTGAGCTTGTACCTACACGTGCTGCCCTCCCGCATCCCCACTCCCGAATTTTGCAGTGCTATTTATGAGAGCACCTCGCTATTAGCGTCTGCCAGTGCTTTCACTCAGTCCATCACACGGTCCAGCGCATCTACCACGCGATCCGTTTACGGGACCGGATAAAAACAACCCATAGGGGGCCCACAACAAGGCGCGGTTTCCCCACCAATCAAAAGGTATTTCTGACACACAAAAAAATGCTTTATTTGTGCAATAAGATTTTATGATGGATTCCTGAGCTAAGTGGAAGTCGCAAAGTGCCATGCATCCGACTTCCGAATGCCACGGTTTCTCAGCACTGTGCCGCAAGGGCTGCAAACAACGCCACGAAGGATCCCAGCCATAGTGCTAAAACATGACAAACAGATGTACACAGATTACTGTTACTCTTCAAAGGAAATCTCTGGAGCTAAACAAGGTACCAGAGCATAACCATAGTAAGTATTCGGTAAATGTTGCAGTGCCCAACAGCAATTGGTTTTTACCTGTCAGGTGCTGGGCGGCAGAGGTTTTTGCTGTTGGTGGTGACACGATACCAGTTTTCGGCTGTATAACCGGAAACAGTAACTCAGGCGGTACGCCTTTTCGTGGTATTGCCGACGAGTCTGCAAGAATTGGCAAAGAAGTTAGGAGATAAAATTTAGAGAATAACTGCGCTGAATAGAAAACGCAAACGGGCGTTTTTTATCGTTCTTTAAGTACTGGTACTGTATGCATTGAAAAACAAAATGAGAATGGGGCTAACTCTCACTAAACTAACAACACAGCATGTCAGGGCGTTTACTCCGGAGAGGTAATTTTTTTTGTCACTGTGGACACCGGATCTTCAACCAGGAGGGCTTACGCATATCGCTCAAACGTTTTCTGTTTTCTTTGGTTCTACCAAGCTATGCTATCTTCAGCAAAACCTGTTCATTAGCACTTACTTCGCCAATCCACATTGTAGGTCAGTGCGCGTTGCGGAGTGGCCTTGTCCAGATAACAGTAGAAAAATTCAACGCCATTGTTGGAAGCGTTCACCACTCGCCTATGAATAAGGTTATTGCCTTCCATTGTGACCACTTAGAAAAAAGAATGACAACAAAACCGGTTTATTGTAGCCGAGGCAACACTTTAATGTAATTGGAGACATTAGTGATAACGAAAGCTGGACACTTTAGTTGGAAAAAAAGCCTACGTTAAAAATGCCACGACTCACCGCACTTTCCGGTCTCGTTGCCTGTTGTGACTCCTTTGCACAGTTGATTTCCCTCCTGGAAGCATTCAAACTAAAGGGGAAAAGATACAGGTTGTTCGTTTATGCTGACCAGTAAACTACTCCATATATGTTACATTATTTCGACAATTAGAAAGCCACCTACCTTGCTTCTGGTCGCCAGGCTTCCGGGGAATTTCCAAGTCAAGCCTGTTTGCCTATATTTGGGGCATTTAGACAGAGTCATGTCTTTGTCCACAATGAACCGATCTGAAGTGTAGGCGGTTGAAATAATTTAACCAGTGGGAGAAGAAATTTGAAAAATTGTTCGCAAGAGCAAGAGCCTGAATAATAATTTTAATGAAAAGTTAACAAAGGTCTCAGTGACTCCTCGGCTAACCTTTGGCTTCCTTGTTCTTAACGTATTGTTCGATTCTATGAATTGTCACAGGGTATTTACTGTTGATGTATATGCTGTCGACGTTGGTCATGTTGGGTACCGTTATATTTGTTGCCAATATCTTCCCAACTGCGTGATATGGTGAGAAGTATAATAAAGCCATGGTTAGGATTTTTTACTTAACTTATAGCGCAAAAATTAATAATAAAATAAATGGTCTTTAGGTAACATACCGTCAGCGTACACACACGTAAATTTTGTGTTACCATGGAAACAGAAAGTGCTGCTGAGTTTTTTGTGCGTAAACGGTGTTTCTCCAAAGAAGCCGTTCTGTTAAAATGACAAAAGTGTAAGGTTTTATGCTCTGGGTCAACAACGCAAAGTTAATCGTTGAAAATGGAAAAAAACACATCTCACAAAATAGGTCCCGCTGCGGACAGTGCTGAACGTGGTTTCATTTTGCTCGTCAGTATATGTCCGTTGATCCCAGTTGCAAATTCCAACACCCTGCCTGTAAACCAAAGAGATGACGTGAGAGCACTATTGTATTGTATGCAACAGATCGTATGTTAATGCCCAATACGTTTACGGTAGGGCTCCGATTTCATGCAATATGCCGACACTCACTCACTAACCGGCAGTAAATACGTTTAAATACTGATTATCGTGTAGGCTATTCTCCAGTCAGTTCAATTAGTAGAGGATGTCTGCATTTTATCGTTTTTTTTCTGACTGCAAACACAAAGTATGCGCTCTTAAAAGAGTCTATTCAAGAGGTATGCATTTTGTCATTGATTTTGACTGCCTTTATAAATTTTAATATATTTTATAGAAAACATAGACGAAAAAATATGCTATCGTACGTGTTTGATAGCAAATCACGCCTTCTTTAAGTGCTATGCACGAGTATACGCTATCCTTCAGTTTTATAAACATGTCTTAATATGAGACTTTTCACGATTTTGAGGTGTTCATTCACAATAGGTAGTATCCATCAATTTATTAATGCTGCCTATACTGCATTAAGCATGTTTCACACCTATTGCAACATTTAATGAGAACTATTTGACCTCTTCCTCAAACCGTAGGCAAATTGTGCTTTCCATTAAATAGGATGTACAAAGCGTGCAGTTAGCAAACCGTTAATTCAAGTCTAGAAATCGCTAGTTTTCAAAATATTCCGGCGATTCAAAGGCTTTTTGAAAACCAAAAGATACCCTTTCCCAAAGTATAAAATTTTAAAAAGGAGTAATTCGCTAACAAAAATGGATGTTAAAAAAATTTTACTAAAAAGAGAGACCTATTTACTCCTAACTCGCAGCACATTTCGATAATTCATAAAAGTTAGAGATTCGCCGCTAAAAGGGTGAGCATAAACTGTGAATTTGGAACCTACACTTTTGCAGTGCCTACCAGCAGTGCCAGAGACAGGACAAGACGACGGAGAGCAGAACTTCTCATTTTCTTCTGAGTACTGGAGTGCAGTTGCTCTGCCTTTATAGATCAGCCTCAGAGTCCCAATCGATCGGGCGCGCTGATTGGTGCATAGATCCGCCGTAGATGCCCACGCCAAAACGCCCGCGCATTGTGCAGGGTAAACTGGGCCTGTGTGCCAGCATTTTTGTGCGTATTCAGATGTGTGCTGTTTTCGAAGCTGGTTGAGAGAGAGGGAATGAATAGGAAAAAGCCCAAATTAATATGTTTCTCGCTGTCATATTCTGAGATTTAATTTTTTTTCTAGTAGAAGAAAAATTCAGCTCCGCTTTGCCTAGGAGCTTGCAACGCATACCCTCCAGTCTGTCACATAGTGACTAAGATGATATGATGAAGTGGATCCGACAAAGAAAAGGAAGACCGTAATGGCCATTTCTGGCTTATTAACCGTCATCAGCCCGTCATACCCAAACTTGAGGGTATGTTCTTTGACATATAGACTGAATTTTAGTAAGTGAGAAGGAATCATCGTATCCAATCTCTGCTGACATGGGTGTTATTTACTTTCGCAAAGCATACGTATGCGTTTTGGTTGATAATACTTTATTCATTTCCATCGCCGATCCTAACGCACCAAGTGTGCTCATATGATTCAGGTTTTTGGGAGTATTTTGCACCCTGGGGCGCAGCAACAAAAACCCTTGTAACCTTAAACGCCAACATACGTAGAATCCGCTTAAATTTACAAGACAAAACGTTTACTCCTAATTAATAAGCAGATTTCTATGGGACTCAGTGGGTCAACTGTGAAATATTCATTAAAATGAGAACAACCAAACAGCTACATATATTAGGTCCTCTTAGGTATCACATGTACAGAAAATTACGACCTAGTGAAAAGGAATAGCTGGTAGTCAACACCTATAAACTTTCAAAAGGACTGAAGCTAGAGATCTACAGTATGTCGAGTCCTGCAAGCAACTTGCCTAACTTTGTAAATGTTTGATTATTTCTCGAATACCAGCGAGATCACATTTACGAAAATGTATAAATAATTAAGAGCAGCATCAGGTATATTAAGTACTTAAAATGATTATAAGGAGTACTGAATGACTGTTAAGAAAAATAAAAATTCTCCGATAAACCCCATGTTCCGGAGATGTAAAAGTTGGTATAAATTAGGAAAATAAATCTAAATATTTCATTAAATTGAAAACGGAATGCAACCAATTTCTCGATATAGAAAGAAATTTTCTGAAGTCAAAATATTCGGTACATATTATCATTAGCGGATAACTGTATATTGAATACCTTCGAATAAAGTCTGTAATTATTTACTTAGTTTTCAGTGTCTTCATTGATAAATTGACAAATTGCGCTTCTACGCGATGTTTACACCAAAACTTCTAAAATGAGATAGATATAAGGAACATTTACCCGAAGAAAGCGTTTTTGGATATTAGTTCTTATAATTATGACCATGTTGCTCATAGGTAGAAATGCCTCGAAACAGCAAACCACATTGTCAAGAATAAATCATGTCCGCAACGGAATTCCGATATTGTCATTCCTTATATGAATTAAGAAACTTTCCATAAAAGGTTGCCTCTATAAAAATGGTTTTGATTAGATATGCGGCTGACGAACTTCTGTGTATATTAATTTTCCCAAGGTAATGTCAAAATGAAATTGGTGAATTTTGACAATTTCTGTAATTTACCTGAAGATAAGCGATTCAATTCGACTGGAAATTGACGAAATTACTTTTCAATTTATAATACATTGTTCTCCGTATACATGGATTAATTTCACAATCGGTTGTAAGCTTGCGAATGGAAAAAAGACTGGCCATAAATAGGGCTATTTCTTAAAATACTTATTATTCTTCTGCCCGGTCCTTTTTTAATAACATATAAGCGGAACGTTTAGTTAAAAAAGTATGTTTCTGCCCGACTTACATTTAATAAGGCCTCGTTTGCATCAATTCACGGTAACATATATGGCAAACGTTGCTTATACGCAAGGAGAGCTGTGTGGTAAAACTAAATTTCCAACGAAACGTTTTTTTACTGCATTTTGTGCAAAAATCTTCACAGGATAACTAAACATAATTTTAAAACTTAAATTCTTGCTTGTTTCTGAAAACAAATGCGATTCCTTAAACGTGCTTTCGCTTCCATTCGATCAACTTCCCACAAAATTTTCCAGTTGTAAAACGGATTATTATTCCATTTTTTTACTTACTCTGGGATTCTTCCGCAGCACAAGGCATATTAGTGAACAGTTTGGTTCTGTCGTACCTTATAACATAGGAACGTTGTTCGATAAAAAAATTGCTCATGATTTAGCCAAAATTGGTGCCTATTTCGCTCAATAATTTTAACTAATATGGCAGTTTTCCAAAGCAAAGCCCTTCTTATTATTAAGTCCACTCGCTTGATCAAAATAACTTGTCCAGGTATATGTTAAATTACCAAATAAATTTCGTCACAAAAGTTGTCTGCAGGGCTTGCCATACTGTAGTTCTCAGATAATTAAAACAAAATTGTAAATCAGTCAAGTTGAATTTGTAAACTGAAAGTATCTAGTGAGGTATGTTGAGTTCTGACAGAATCAGCAGACAAGTGTTCAATATTCATCTTACTAGGAAGATACCGACACAAATACACATAAGGCTTATATGAGTCACTATATCGATCGCATATTGACGCCATCTCGGCAATATATGCGTCGATACTGATAGTCTGCCGTCACAAAATTACCTTGAGACCAAACTTACCAATTTCCTTCTGAGTAGATTACAAAAGGACAAATTTTAAACTGGTGTGGTTACCAATAAGTCTTCAGAAAACACCGAGAAACCCGCTGTTGAGCAGATCAACGGCCGCCTTGCCTTGCAGCAACAAAATTGCGCCAAAATTGGTTTCTAGGCTTTTAGCTACTAATTGAACTGTCATTATGTTGCATCGTTTAAAATCATACGCATCTGATAACAGTTTTTCCTAGTGGCTGTGAAAACGGTACATTAAAAATACCATCTAAACGTTGCGCGCTTTCTTTAAAAACCATGCTCTGATAATGTCATTAGTACATAAAACTATTTCAAATTGAGTATAATTACAAAATGGATCCTGAGTCTGTTATTTTTTAAAACTATCATATTTTCTATTTCTGTCACTCCATTGTGTAAACTATCCCCAAATGAACAAAATAATGTAAACACACCTATAGTAAAAGCTATACCATTATAGGTCGTAGAAATGAATATATTGAGCACATTGTCAAGAAAGATAAATCTGATTACCAGAAAATAATCGACAGATTAAGTCTCTTTGAAGGTTTATAATCTTAGGTTGTATGTTGAGGTTTTATAAGATACTGACTGTCTGTTGTCGGTTAAAGGACTATTGCGTGGTTATCCCCATTCCTCTGAAAGTAGAAGACCTACATATTATTATCGACTTTCACTCTACGTTTTCTGTCTTTTGAAGCATTTTCTAAATTATGTTTCTGTTTTCATGAAGTTTTGAATGTCTGAGTCAAGAGGGTGTTGCGTTTAAGATGGTGATGATGGTGATTCTGTATAATTTCGAAATGTATTGTAATATTTATAAATTCGCTTCTAAAGAAATGGTAACAATAAATTCTGTCTCGCAG